TTTTTTTCCCTAATAATTTTGTAGACCCAAATCTGGAAAAAGATTTTTATTTGAATTTTTTGAAGTGCGAGTGAGGTTTTTGATCATGGCGGTGATGGAAAATGCCCGGGAAAACACGATGATATCGTCGAATCAACCCGACCCGAATGCTGACGTTGCCGTGGATCATCACCATCTCAATCAGCAGTCAACAAAGGCCGCCGTTAATCAAAAGTCAACGAAACTGAACGATCAGAATTACAACCTGATGCAGCGTAAAATTACTTCGCCGCAATCCAACGGCCATCATATGCGGCAGCAGAGTATCAACGGCAATCGAGTCTCTGAAGTTTACCCTAACAGTGAGGGCGAAGAGAGTGTAAATGGTGGAGATGATGATGGACAGGAAGGATTTAAGAGGGAGATGAGGGATTTAGAGGAAATGTTGTCGAAGTTGAACCCAATGGCGAAGGAATTTGTGCCACCGTCTCTCACTGTCAAATCGAATGGCGGTCGCCACCGCAGGCTGGTGCCACCACCACATGCTGCTGGTGCGGTGGGTGGGATCTTTGGGTATAACACTAACGGATTTCTGATGCAGCAGCATCTTAACTCTGGAGTTCCCATTGGCCATTCTATAAGAAGGGTTTGTATTTTATGATTTTTCCATATCTTGAACATAATAATCATTTTTTGGATTCTAGTAGAAGATTAGGTAATATATTTATCGTATTCTTTACTTCAGTTTAGTTAGAAGTGATAGAGTAAGCAGAAATTTCATTACCTTTGTATTTGTTGAAGTTCATATTCTATAGAAAAATAGAAATAAAGACTAGGATGTTTGGTTTTGCTAATTCTTTGGATGTTATCATGCTATAAAACAGAAGAAATATGGCTATAGTCATGGGGAGCCGAGGATGAATGGCCGAACAAGCTTGGCCCAGAGAGAAGATGTGATTAGGAGGACAGTGTATGTATCTGACATTGATCATCAGGTAAAATGGAATTTAGGGTTTGTGCACCTGTTGTTATTCACGAGTTTTGATTTGTTTCGACAATGACTTTGTTTATAACTTTGTTTTATACTTTTTTCGTGGATATAGGTTACTGAAGAGCAACTTGCTGCAATTTTCGTTAGTTGTGGACAAGTAAAGTCTCTCAGCATTAGGTCCACAGCATTAGAATTTATCTTTGTGATATAATATGTTCTAATATTATTTTTCCATGTGCATCGTTAAGGTTGTGGACTGTCGCGTCTGTGGTGACCCTAATTCTGTGCTTCGTTTTGCCTTCATTGAATTCACGGATGAGGGTATGTAATGATTTGTACTCTAGTTCTGTATTTTGGTGAATCCTGGGATTACATTCTGCACTATCTTTTGCATGACTTGCAGAAGGAGCGCAAAATGCTTTGAGTTTGGGGGGTATTATGCTTGGATATTATCCATTAAAAGTGCTGCCTTCCAAGACAGCAATTGCACCTGTTAATCCAACATTCTTGCCAAGGGTGAGAAATTTATTGTGTTCTTTATTCTTTATTTACCTCCCTTGTGTGAATTCAGTTAAAGATTAGAACTCTAATAACTGTTTTCTTTATCTCAAAACTAGTCTGAGGACGAAAGGGAGATGTGCGCAAGGACTATTTATTGTGCAAACATTGATAAAAAGGTAGCTTTGGAATTTTCTGTCCTTTTTTTTCATGTAGTTATTGGGTTTATTGAAACGCATATATGATTTTTTTGCTTGTTCTAATGCAGGTCACTCAAGCAGACGTCAAACTTTTCTTTGAGTCCATCTGTGGAGAGGTCTGTAGCTGAGTATAACAACTCTAAGTAACTCTTCTATTTAAATACCCACTTCAATGTAATGAAATCTGTTCTCCAACACAGGTTAACCGCTTGAGGTTGCT